ATTCCAAAATAACTTATTCTCCAACCAAACAGACTCTAAAAGTCATACTAACAAAAATATATGCCTTAAAAAGCTAAAGTTTCCTATAAAATTGTGCAACTATGAATAAACTCATCTGCCAATAATACATAAATTAATGGAATGACTGGTCTATTTTAAACATCTTAAAGAAAAACATTTAGAGAATTATGCCCCCACTTCATCAGTAGGTAGGTGTTTGTCCATAGATTTTAAATATTTTTTATTTTATTTTAAAATTGAAGTTGAAGTTTTTTGATGAGGATAAAACTGCATTTTGATTATATTTTTTTATCAAAAAAAATCATTTAATATCATAATTTTTTTTAAGATAATATTAATTTCTTACTCATTGTTCAATATTGTAATGTAGTTTGATTAGATTAGATCAAATTAAATTTATCAATATGGATTGTAGTGCAATGATAATGATGATGTTGTTTCACCATTAACTAGAGGTTTCAAATTCGAGTCTTGAGTATGAAAAAAAAATACTATTAAAAGTGTCACCCTCAAATAAACATTGCAGTGTTTAATGCAAATTAATCGAAGCTCTAATATCAACTTTCATATACGAAATGAAAAAAAAAACAAAATATTCATTCTATCCCTAATTACTTGTCAACTTTTGAATTGACACACCATCAAGAAAACAATGATTGACATAATTAGTTTACCATTTTACCCTTACTAATTATGAAGTGGATGAATTAAAAATTTAAGATTTTCAAAAAGTTCTATATTTTTCAAAGTAATTAATTAAGAGTATAATAAATAAAAAAATTATCCTTTTTTGATTTGTCAATATAGATAAATAAAATATGACTATTAAAAATAAAAATTGGACAAGTAATTAAACAAAATATAAATTTGTACTCATGGGTCAAGGATGTGCTCAATACGACAAATTTACCTCTTTTAATAACCACCATCAATTACTAGTACTAGTCAAATAATTGTGACACCGGCCAATCCAAATTCTACACGCAGCCATGAGGTGAGTCATATCATTGTCCAAACCACTCAATTTAATTTATTTATTTTGTCTCAATTCATTTTATACAAATTTTGACACTTAATTTTTTCTTAAAGTTATATCTTAAATTTAAATATGTTTTTTAAAAAAATAAAAGAAATACAACTAAAGAAAAACTCATTTAAATTGAAAGATTTGAAAGATACCACGTAAATTCAGATGATTTTTTTAAATTATCTGGTCTATTCATAGTTTAACTAAGATTCTCCAAGTTTTTTTTAGATATTTTTAAAGTTATCAATTACTATTATTTTTCACCCGGACATAGCTCAATTAGATAAATAAAATTCAATTCAATCTCATAATCTTATTTTTCGAAATACAATTAGATGATAAGACCAAACAAGAGTATTAATGAATTACGTACATTACTTAATTACTTGATCAAATGAAAGTTGAACAAAAATATCTAATCAGATTCAATGAACAATATGCTATTGATGAACATGAGGAGATCAATGAGCCACAAGTACATTATGTTTTCTTGTGAATTTCACAAGAATCTCATTGAGGAAGCAAAATTGAAAAGGATAAATTCATCCAAAAGTTACGTTTCCAAATGGAACATCTATAGAAGATAACTTTTAAAGGAACGTAACTGGACAACTTAACTAATAAATTAATTTAGTTGAATTGTTATATTAAAAAAAACTATCATCTATATTTATTTTTTTAAGCAACAATATTTATTGTCGTAAAAATTTACACTTAACGATGATTGAGTTTATTGTTATTACATTTAGAATAATCACTAAGATATTTATCAGGATTTATATAAAATACGTAACTAAATAATTTGTGCAATAATTTTTTTATTGAGGTTACATGTAAAGACGACAAGTAAATATATACGGCCAAAAATTGCATAGGTGCCCCGTGAATTTTGATGCATTATTTCACGTGAATATTACAACTACTAAAAGATTATAGTTGCAAGCTAGAAAGTTGTTATGCAGGTATTCTTCTTTTGTTCTGCTTTTCTTTTATAATTGTGGTGTCTGAATTAGTTTTTACACACCTCAATCAACTCCATGGAATATTTATCATGTTGTACTAAAAAATAGATATTAGATAACTCTATTCACCCAAAGCTAAGACATATGAGAAGAATTACCTAGTATTTTACTAAATTATTTAGTGTGGAAAGCTGTATAATGTTCAAGTACATTTGAAAAGAACAGTTGTCTAATATAATGAGAATAAAATTGACATTTACTAGGTTTATGTCGGCAGCTATCTTAGGAAAACGTCAAGAAACATTTTTGTCACAATGTCAGCAGAATACACCATTATTGTAATATTCTTTACATATTATGAAAATTGAAAACGATTTAATTTGTAATTATTTTATTTGTTTAATTAGGTATAAAGTAGGGGTCCATATCTTCTGCGAAGTGATAAGCTAAATATAACAGATGAAGTTGATAAGACAACACGACAATTAAATAAAATTGTTATATTTGTGATGATAAGATAGATATCAATAAAGTATGTAGATAAGAGCAAGTACATTTCGTGTTGAATCCTACAACAACAATAATAACACATTTCGTTAAGAAATATCTCGAGAGGCATTTTGAGTTCAGTCTAATTCTATCTCTTTTCGTTTCATTTGAAAAAAGGAAGGATCCCAAAGAATTGATCTTTCTTTTCGTTGTTAAATCTCTCTTCGATCAAAAGATCCTTTCAATTGGCTAGAATCCATTGCTTGAACAAAATTAGATCTTGTGAAATTATTTTGAATATTTGACGATATATTTGTACATTACTAAAATATCAACTTCTAATTAGAAAACTATGATTCATAAAAATGAAGAAACTAAAGAATCATTTGATCATGAGAATTATTCACTTTTGTTCAAAATAATTCTTTCTTTATTTCAAATATATTTTTTAATTCCATCTTCATATATTTTAAATAAAGTGTTTTTTTTCTTCTCTTAACAACAAATTATTATAACAAAACATAAATTCATTTTCCACTCTAATTTCATAAATTATGGACAAACGCCTACTATTAAAAAAAATTACATTAAAATTTGATTGAGAAATAGTTGCTCTTGCTCATCAGAGTTGCTATCAGCCTATCATATACGTAGCCTTTTTTTTTTTTAATGATAGATTATCTTCCCCGTTTCAACTTTTTTTTAAGAGGAACCAGAATAAAGTGAGTAAGATGGAATTCTTATAACAATTATAAATAATTCTTTTATTTTAAAGTATATGAATTAAAGAAATTAATAATTTGATTTGACATAAGATGCTATAATGCTTTAACATTATTTTAGATCCGATACATAACATCACGGGTCACTTTGGTCTCGTACGAATTCATTTTAATTTTCTTTATTCTTATAATATTTTTAATTTCAACGTAAAATGTTATTTTATTTATTGAAAAGTATAAGTTACTTTATAAAATATTACTTTCTCCAACACACTTTAAAATAAAGTAACATTTGAGGGGTAATGACCGATAAGTGAACTCACTTGGGCTCAGTATATATTTCTTATAGTATTAGTCATTATTAGAGTTAAAAGATACTTTCTCCATCCATTTTTATCAGTCCATTATATTATTTTAAGATATTCAATAATATTTACTAGTTTATAAAATTAATAAATAATCTATCATTTTATACATATTATACTCGTGCTACTAAAAACTATTTGTTTTTTAATGTTTAAATGACTTATACTTTAATTAGAGTGAATTGGTAAAAATGTCTCTATCATTTACTGTTTCTTAATTTTTGTGTTAAGTCAATAGTGAACAATTATTGTTGGACAGAGAGGGAGTTTATACTACTATCAAAAATATTTTCAACTTAATTGCCTCCCTTAAAGACATTTCAACAATCATCACAAGAAGGGTAGTTTGATAAAGTGTATTTTATCATAAAAATAATAATATACCATTAGTCACTATTAGAGTTAAATGATATTACTATCAAAGTTATTTTCAACTTAAATACCTGCCTTAAAGACATTTCACAATCATCCCAAAAAGAATACTAATATAAAGAATAATGCACTATTGATGCACTGGTATAAAAATAATACCCAATAGAGTGTATTAGTAATGCATATATTAGTTATACTTGTATTAATTATGCATATATTATTTCTTAGGCATTGTTTTGTTTGATGTATTAAAAATAGTATGCATTGTATAAAAATATTTATTTACAAAAGTATCCTTCACAATTATGGTGGAAAAGATGTAAACGTACTTTTGAGGGGTAATTGAGTCTTTAACCATATTAATGCATGCATTAAATTCTTTGCATTACTAATACCATGAATTTTTAGGTATTAGTAATACACTCCTCAATACACAATAGAATATCTAACTAATGCACATGACATGAAAAAATGCACCAAACAAGAAATTACTAACTAAACGACCGTTAGAGTTAAAAGATATTGCTGTCAAAATCATTTTCAACTTAAATACCCACCTTAAAGACATTTCACAATCATAAAAAAAAGGGTAGTTTGATTATAAAAAAAATAATGTGCGTATTAATTATGCGTATCATTGATATTATTTTTTAATTTATGAATAATTAATATTTATACCAGTTATACATCTTTTTTGATATTAAGATATGCACGATTAATATATAAAAATTTATGATATTAATAATATAAAATACTTTAATGCATATATATTAGTATGATTAAAGATATAATTGCTTCTCAAAGTGAGGGTACCTTATTTTGGAATTTATCACTGCATACTAATTCTAATACACTAATATATAAAAAATAATCTTTACATAACTAATACCAACATTATTATATTCAATATTATTTTTTTCACAAGCTCCACCAAGTGTGATCCTTTAGATATAAACATATTTTACGACCGATCTTAAAATTATGTATTTAAGTCATGAGAAAACAAAAATACAATAAAATTATATTATACAGAGAGTAAAAAGAAAAAGGAAAAGGAAGTGACGTTATTCCCGGAGTTTTCTATTTCTGTTTCTAGAAATTTTGCGCTTCTCCTCAAAATCATTTTCTCTCTCTGCTCCTGCTTTTTTTCTCCATTTTTGGGAGCAATTTCACGACGAAAACTCGAAGCAGACAAATATTTGAACTTTATTTTTGCACTTCTCTCTTCCATTTTTCTTTTTGTGGTTTCAGAAAGTTTAGAGGATTTGTAATATTTTTTGTGCTCTGTTTTCCGGCGCCTTTCAGAATGCAATTGTATTGGTGAGTATATCCAAAAAAAAAAGCTGAGTATTCAAATTCTATTTTTCCGTTTTTTGATGAATTTTCTCGGAAATGTTTGTGAAACCCTTTAATTTCATGGAAAATGATACGTACTTAACTTTTTTCGCTCATTGTAGGGCAGGAAATTCCATATTTGAAGATTATTTGGTTAGAATTTTAAATGATCATACCCATGAAAAAATTGGAAACAAACAGTAGAAAACTATTATTTTTCTTTTTGGGTGAAAATCTTGATTACGTAGAAAAGAATTGATTTTTATTTTAACTTTATATTTGTTTGTTTAGAAAATCAGACAAAATTTGGAAATTGAACTGTGGAGAGTTGTCATAAACATGAATGTTTTGTTCTTTGTTAAGTTGGTTTCTAACGGAACTATTTTTATTTTTTTTTCCTTTTCTAATTATAGGTGAAAGGCACTGGAAGCTTTTTTGTTTGCATTGGTGAGAATCTTTATGTTGTAGAAATGATCTTGTTTTCTGTTTGGGTGTACAGTAGATTGGAAAAACTGGGAGATTAGAAATGGAGAATTTTAAATTACATTCGTGAAAACCATTCTCTTCTGCTCCTTTTGTTCAAATTGTTTTGCTTGGGTTCTTAGGTTTCGATTTATGTGGGATATTTTATTTCATGGAATATAGTATTATGCAGAAGATTGACATGACGGGAGCTAATCGCGATGAAAACCTGGCGAAGTTGAAAACAAGTTGGTGAACTGTGGTTGTAATACAAAGTGTCAAAAGAAATGGCTTCTGTGCTGGCTTCTCTGTTTCCAAAACTGGGATCTTTGGGTACTTCAGATCATGCTTCTGTTGTATCCATCAACCTATTTGTGGCACTCCTTTGTGCTTGCATCATCATTGGTCATCTCTTGGAGGAGAACCGCTGGATTAACGAGTCCATTACTGCCCTCATAATTGTGAGTGTCACTTCTTTTATTCTACATAGGGATTTTCGTGGGAAGACATGTAATGCAGATCGTGTATACATTAATAAAATTGAAGTGACAGACTGGTGTCGCCTTTGAATTTGATTAAAATTTCCAGTTTTCTATTTAGATATATTACATTCTCTGATTTGTTTATCAACACTTACATTACATGTATGTTTGATAATTGCAGGGTTTGGGTACAGGAGTGGTTATCTTGCTCGTAAGTGGTGGAAAGAGCTCACACCTTCTGGTTTTCAGTGAAGATCTCTTTTTCATATATGTACTTCCTCCAATCATATTTAATGCAGGGTAAAATATCATTATCTTTTCTTGTTACTTTTCTTTTTTGCGGTCCATTGCATATTTAGAAGGTTTGCATATTTTGACTGCTAGTATTGTTCCCACAAAATTTGATTATTACATATGTTACTCTCCTCTTTTACAGGTTTCAGGTAAAAAAGAAGCAATTTTTCGTGAACTTCATAACTATAATGATGTTCGGAGCCATTGGTACCCTGGTCTCATGTGCCATTATATCACTAGGTATTATTCAAAGCATTCTTTTATTGGAAAAGCTCATTATATAAGTTTTATTGGTTAGAGAGGTCCTCCGCCAGAGAATTATTCTGCAACTGGGGTACCTAGTCAACAGATTGATGCTTGTTGTGGTTTTATCATAGCTACTGAAGGTACTTGATTTAAAGAGTAGAAATTACACCCAGGCCAAAGTTATCTTCCATATGAGCCATGAAATTATGATGGATGAAACTATAATGAGTTTTACTGATTTCTAGTGGATCTTCTTCTTGCTAAAACATGTTCAATAGTCAATGTGTCTGTTCCTCAAGATAATTTTTTTCTTAATTGATTTTCATATGCTTTTCCACATATCAAGCTGCCTATTGGCGTGCATGATGTTTCGTGTCCATGGCCTTGATAATGATAGTGAAAAAACGATTATATTCCAGATGTTACGCTGATGGTAAGGAAGGAGGAGGTTATTTCAAGATGTCTTGAATTTGCTTACCTTCTATCCATCAAGCAATGTTGCAAAGCTTCTCTATTACTAGGGTAGATGTGTTTGATACCTGAAGTTTTGAGCATTTTAGTACATTCACGTGGAGTTTCTGGCGCAGACATGCTACTATGTCCTTGCTTTTTGGTAATGAAATCATCCCTGTTTTATCCTGATCTTGGAATTGAATTTCAATGCAGTAGTATGTGTTAGTTTCTCGCAAGCATTGTTAATTAGTGTTTGCTGATATTTTCTCTCTGTCATGTGAAGGTGCCATTCAAACTTTCAAGAAGTTGGACATTGAATTTCTAGATATTGGGGATTATCTTGGTATTTTTTGAAACCATTGTTGTGTTTGTTCTGTTGTTGGTTGCTTGTGTTTCTACCTCTGACCGCTCTTATTTCTCTCTCTCTCCATTTATTAGCAATTGGAGCAATATTTGCTGCCACAGATTCCGTCTGCACATTGCAGGTACAGAAGTAGTGCCCTCATCATATGGCCAATGCTAGTGACCCAATATAATGCCCTAAAGTTCAAGTTATTTCTGCTGCAGGTCCTACATCAGGATGAGACACCCCTCCTTTACAGTCTTGTATTTGGAGAAGGAGTTGTAAATGATGCTACATCGGTGGTGCTTTTCAATGCTATTCAAAACTTCGACCTTACCAGTGTGAATCTCAGTATAGCCCTCAGTTTCCTTGGCAACTTCTTCTATCTGTTCCTTGCTAGCACTTTACTGGGAGCAGGAGTAAGCTTCACTCTGTGAGCGTGTGTGGGAAATGATGTGTCCATGATGCATCATTCATTAAATCCTTGATATTGACTTCTAGTTAGGCTTTCCCCCTCCATTTGACATTTTCTTCTTACTGCAGACCGGTCTTCTTAGTGCTTACATTATCAAGAAGCTGTATTTTGGCAGGTAATGCCACTATTAAGGAGTCTGTGGTAACACACATTTCGGGTTTTCCTGCTGCAATGATGTTACAGATATGCTTTGATTGCAATGAATTCAGTCCATAATTAGTGAAGTTGCCTTAAATTTCACAAGAACTTTTTTATTTCTAACTGATAAATGTGGTCTTCTTGCAAGCTTGACTGTACAGATATGATGCTTTTCCTTAGGATGTCGCTCGACTCAATATCAGTACTTGAATTCCCTGCTATAGTTGATAGGTTATACCTATTTTATATAGTGGAGTTCTACACCTATGGTCTGTCGGAAATGTATTTTCCTGATTGTTTTTCTCTAGTCAGATTTGAGATTTCTGGCCTCATTTGCAGATATATCTATTTGTCACTTATAGCAAACTAATAGGAGCTTTCAGCTGTTTAAGATTATGTTTCTAAGAAGCTTGAGAGAGCCAGAACGTTTTTGATAAAACTGTAAACATGGTTCATGTAAAGCTTTTCATGTTTCATTACACTTTCTTATCTAGTGAAACTTTGCCTAGTTCCTCTCGAACTTGACGAAAAAACTTTTTGACCCATTCTTTCTTATTTCCCTGCCTCTTCTTATTGTAATACTATAATGACAAGTTACTTTTACGGTCTCCAGGCACTCCACAGATCGTGAGGTTGCCCTTATGATGCTCATGGCTTACTTATCATACATGCTGGCTGAAGTAAGATCTTCATTTTAGCACATTGGCACTTGTATTCAACATGCATGTTTCTGATACTAGTGACATAATTGTTCATCGTTTGCAGCTATTCTATTTGAGTGGGATTCTCACTGTATTTTTCTGTGGTATTGTAATGTCTCATTACACTTGGCACAATGTGACCGAGAGTTCAAGAGTCACTACAAGGTACAATTTCCTACTTTTCTGCCAAGTTGTTTTCCAATTTATTCTGCCTGGTCACCCAAGTTTTGTGCATTTTTTGTTAAATTATTTTATCTGAAACCTACAACCTGTTATTTAGGTCATAACTGCCGAAGCCTTGCAACAACTAAGACAATAGCTGATCTGATTAGCTTTGACAAATAGACACTCATTTATATAGCTTATCCAAATAGTCATTTATATAAATGATCGTGTGTCAGTTATTACTTGTGGTAGAGAAGTGACATATGTGCACATACTTCGACTAAATGTTATTGTGCTATTTTTCTGTAGGCACGCTTTTGCAACTTTGTCATTTCTTGCAGAGACTTTCCTCTTCCTCTATGTCGGCATGGATGCTTTGGATATCGAGAAGTGGAAATTTGTTGGTGACAGGTATCACTTTTTTTCTTTTTCATTTTGAAATGGTTGTTAGTGATATTGCGGAAGGAGGACTTATGTGCAAAGTACGAGAGAGATTAGTATTAATTCTTACATGGTTTACCTTCCTCCCTTTTAATTTGTTGTCATACAGTCGGTAGTCTTTATCAGGTGGTTCTTTTATTTCTTGCAGGCCTGGATTATCAATTTCCGTGAGTTCAATACTGATGGGACTAATCTTGCTGGGGAGAGCTGCCTTTGTTTTTCCATTATCATTCTTCTCCAACTTAATGAAGAAATCCTCGGAGCAAAAAATTACCTTTAGGCAGCAAGTGAGCAGTGGCTTGATCAAATTCTCTCTTATTATGTCTCATGGATATCAGTACTAACTTTGTTTTGTAGGTGATAATATGGTGGGCAGGTTTGATGAGAGGCGCAGTGTCCATGGCACTGGCATATAATAAGGTAAACGTGCTAATCATATTCTAGGCCAGTTCAGCTGACATTGTAGGAATATCAGCCCTTATATGTACACTTCATGATACTTATTTTCACATCCTTGTATTTTTTTATGTCATGAATCATTGATCATTTGGTCATGCAGTTCACTCGTGGGGGACACACTCAACTGCAGGACAATGCAATAATGATTACCAGCACGATAACCATTGTTCTATTCAGCACAATGGTATATACTTCTTGCCTCTGCCATGATATTCTTTGTCGGTTGAACCATGCTGGTACATTCAATTCATATGCGAAATCCAGAATGCGTAAACTATTTTTTTTCAGGTATTCGGTTTAATGACAAAACCCCTTATAAGTCTCCTGCTGCCACCACAGAGGCAATTGAGTACAGTGTCATCAGGTGCAAATACTCCAAAGTCTCTAACAGCCCCACTCCTAGGCAGTCGAGAGGACTCTGAAGTTGATTTAAATGTTCCAGATCTTCCTCACCCACCAAGTTTGAGGATGCTACTTACCGCACCAAGTCATAAAGTGCATCGGTACTGGCGCAAGTTTGACGATGCATTCATGCGCCCTATGTTTGGTGGTCGGGGATTTGCTCCTCCTGCCCCTGGTTCTCCAACGGAACAGGGTCCATGATGTGCACGAGAAAAATGAAATTGATGTAAAAGAAATTCGCCAAGGGACGTCCAGTGGATCCTAAAGATTCTGTGTACACAGATTGCTGACAGCATTATGAGCTTCACCCAGGTCCTTGACCATTTGGTACTGCTGTCATTTACATTGCTTTAGCAAACTCTAAAACTGATAAAATGTTCATAAAATTCAGCAAAATCCTCTCGTTTGCAGTGGAGGGTTTAGGAAAGGGTGAAACTCTGGCTGACCATGGTGAGTGTGTAAGTTAATCCTGAGAATGCTCTCTCAGATGGCAATATCTCTATTCAAACTTATTGTAAATTTTGGGCTACTTAAATGTTGCCATCTTTTTGCGTGGTGTAATTTCGTGTGGTATTATATATCCCATTTGTAATGTTTTATGAACTTGAGAAAGAAATAATTGTCAGAGAGCAGAAGATAGCTTTTCCAAAAATCATTTTCATTTCTCTAGTATTGACATGAGATTGAGACTTCCAATCTTTCTGATGATTTGCCACAAAGATAGGTCATGGCTTGCCAGAATTTCATCTTTTGTTTCGTCTAGATAATGTACTGGGAAAAAGGAGCGTCTCATGTTACAAATAGAATGATTACTTTCCGATTGTATCTCTTAACAAATTATTCACCAAGGAGAGTATTTGTACTCTTAAGGGGCTAGAGGACATTCTTTTTGAAATGGATAGAACATGTTTTTTCCCCCTCCTTCTTGATTTTATTGTTTTAAAAAAAATAAAAAAATCTAGTTACCATCCAAAGTCTTGATAATTTTGGTTTAGTTTGGACTACTTTCTTAGGTAATTTAATCGTAACCGAGTGTTGTGGTATAATGAATCAGATCATTCTATTCTTAGGGGACGTTTGGTTACTGGATAAGGGCAAAGTTAATGCATGAATAATTTGATTATTCATGTATTAATTTTATACCATGTTTGGTTTGTAAATAGAATTAAAATTATTCATGTATAAATTTTATATAATGTTTGGTTGGTGTGTCTCCAAATGTTGTATAAAAATTATTCATGTATTGATTTATGTGGTGTTTGGTTGTATTTTTGTAATTCTACATAGCTAATACTCACATAACTTATGAGGAAATCTATGTATAATTTTATGCGGGTAGAGGTGGATAAGTTATGAGGGTATTAGTTATACATGAATTAAAATAATAAAATTACATATTTACCCTTAATTTGTTTACTTAATTATTTATTTCTAAATAATAATGTATATTAATATTAATTCACAGATTAATGAGTAATTTTTTCTTTTTTTTTAAAAGGACTGGCCTAACTCATTTTTTTTTAGTTTCGTGATGCCCCACCCCCCACACACACAAACAAACCCAAAACTGTTTGCCCCCGCCCCATCCGAACTGTTGCATTTTATTATTTGTGCGCATCAACCTATAGATTTCTACCCCCCCCTCTCGCCCCACCCCCACAGGGGCCTGTTGCATTTTATCTTGGATACAAGCTTTATAATTTTCTATTTTAAATAAAAAATATATTAATTTACAATAAATTAAACAATCAATAAGTAATAATATATTTATTATAATTTCTACATAACTAAATCTTACATAAATAATACCTACATAACTAATATTTGTATAATTAATACCTACATAACCAATATCTGCATAACTAATACCTGCATAACTAATATCTGCATAACTAATACTTACATTACTAATACCTACATAACTAATACCTGCATAACTCTAACCAATAACCAAACGGCCCCTTAAGTCATTGCGAGTACCAACATACTTGCATTTAATTAGTTTTCAAGAATCATAGTAAAAGGACTAGTCGGCCATGAGAAACCATAAACACTAATATTAAACAGAGGTACCCAAGGTAAACTCAAGCCAAGACAGGAGACTTGAATAACAGCTGCAATGGGAAAAGAGATGTGTACCAAGAAAATATTTCCTTGATAGAGCTCTTTCCTGAGAAAACTAAAATATCTTTTGCTAGATTAAATAAGTGAAACACTCTTTACGCTCTTTGGCGTTCACAGTAATCGCCAAAAAGCTCTCCATACCCGCCACTACTGTTCACATGCACAACAAAATTTTTGAACATAAAATGTTAAAAAAACCCTCACAAAACCATCAATATAATTAACACTTCCAGCAAAAAGATACTCCAACTCCTCTACCTGCTGCGATGATGCAGGCTTAGGTAGTAGACGGAGATTATTACACTTTATTCCATCTAAAAACAGCATTTACAACACTTGATATACTCTACTAGTCAATACAACAACATATCTGATCCTCAGCGTTAGATTGAACAGATAGGGGCTTTGTGAAGGAAAAACTGTCTATCAAGATAGACATAATAACCTTTCAGTCGCAGCGGTGTATTAAATGCTTCGATCAGTAATGCAAAAGGTAACCAAACACCATACTAATAAAGGCTACAGTAACCACATAGAGGAGCGGAAATCCAACCCTCACTTTTCTTCCGCCTTTCTTACTTGTCAACATGACCTGCAATATCATAACACCAGAAAAAGAACACAAATAAAGGAAGGGTTAATTAAGGACACTTTTTATAGAGCACAAGATCATGTCACAGGAGCATCACGACTGAAATAGAGACTTATCAGGTAAAATTTAGGGTGAGGGACTGAAACACAATTTCTCCCTCCCTCACTTCCACAGAAGCACATTTTGTAAGACTTAAATGGATCCGACTTATCAAGGCAAGAACACAATTTGCTTGAGGTACAGCTAGACTAGCATGGACTCAGAACAGACACAACATCCACATAACATTCTGGCTTATTATTACCCCAATAGAGATTTAGTTAATAGCATCCCAATCTTTTGAGGACTTCTACTAATGTCGAGATCTTAAATTAATAATATTAACAAAATCTTGTTTAAACCATATAGGAATCAATGAAAATACCAGTTCTCTTTGTAAGCTCTCTCTTTCTTGAGCGGTAGATTTCTTCTCCTCTGTTAGCCTTGAGATGGTGTCTTTGGCCTGCAAGAGGGTAAGGAAGGGTGAGAAACAGCATTTATCCAAACCAATTACGGGCACTAAACCTAATTGACTCATATGTTGAACAAAAGTTTACATCCACGGGTGGGAAATATCAAACTCTATGAAGTGTTCCAGAAGACTCGAAAAATCTTCAGTAAGAAAGGTCGAGGTTGAGTTAGTTTCCAGTTTTTATTCTTTTGGCATCGAGTTCCATCAAAATGACTAGACAAGTCAGCAAACTGCGGTACAAACTAGACCCGTCTGAATTTTCATCAAGTGATCACCTTGACCAATAGATGCCAAAACTAGTACAGACTAAAATATGATAAATCAGAGGCACAGTTAAATAAGAGAAACTCATCTTGCCTGAATCCCAGTATTGATTTAAATTCCATAAGTTTGATCTTACTATGTACTTGCCAAATATCCTCAAGCAACTACTCTGAACCTTATCATGTACGGGACATCAAAAAAGAAGACAGTGCTACGACATAGTTTGAGCAGCGTATTACCAAGATTCTGCTAGGAAGAAACCACCCTTCTGTACTTGCAGGGAGCTGTAACAACTAGCAAGGATTGATTCAATATTGCTAGATCAAATGCACTAACGTTGAACAGAGACTCTGATTACGGAAGTCAAATCCAAGTCGGAAGATACTCGTTCAATGATGATAAATTGGGATCCACTTTACTCTGCTACCATGTTGTCAAAGGTGGTGCGGGCTTAAGCCCTGAACTGAAGCTCAAACCATGTTGAGCGCTTCATGTCGCTAAATGTGCGCTTCAGTTTTGTTATCACGGATCTAAGGCATACTTTTCCTTGCCAATGAGACTAAGGGGCGACATTAAACAAGTGATATTTCACTTTTATCATAATCTTCTTTCAATTTCTTTCTTCATATACTTGTCATTCATGCTTAGAATTATGAGTCTGGACTAAACATATATATATATTTGTATTTATTCTGCCTTGCCCTTTTTCATTGAAGTCTACGCTTCATTTGCGTTTTGTGCTTAAAGCCCCAACGGACCTTAAAAGCTTTTTTGCATTTTATGCTTTTGATAACACTGCTCTGCTATCACAATTATACTTTTAACTAGCTTAGGACTCTAATCCTAATAGACATATAGTTGATAGTGCATTTAAGAGGTCTTTTTTAAAAATCATCCAGAGAGACAATTCTGAGCAGCGGACATTAGTCAATAATACTGCTGACTGATAATCTCATGTGTCCAGGTCTGACAATTCCAGGGAACTGGTAAAAAGCTCAGTGTAAACTGCTTTTGCTGCCAGCTATTTTATGCAGATCACAAGGAATTAGACAATACCCTGACATAAAGAAGTGACCAGCATATTTTGTACAAATCTTTCATCCCTGGCTTGATTGATGAAAGGTACGCCTTCCAATTTCTATATGGGTTGGTTTTAACCCCTTGATTGCACAAAATTGATTCTTGTCATCAACAACGAGTGGCATCTTTTCAAGAGGTAAAAGAATATTTACTTAAAAAATAAAACCAGGCAATTCCTCAGCAAAGCTATATCCAGATAAAAACTGAAAACCACCAAGGGCACTGACTACATATTGTTTTTCAAATGACAGAACAAAAGTAGTTCCAGACTCTACTTGAAATAAAAAAAAAAAAAAATGAGAAGAGAAGAGAAGGTAAGAAAATTCTAACCTCACTTAATTTTCGTTCAAGTTCAATTATTTTTGACTTCATGCTTGCAACATCCTTGACTAAGTCCATCTCTTCATCATGCTTCCTCGTCTCCAACTGCGCATGATTTCCCTCCATTTGCATGTCAGCATTTTCCTTTCTAAACTCCTTTACATTCTCATCCAGCTGGAGAAGTGTATCAACAGAGATAAAATATATTACCAAACAGCTAACTCAATGTACATAATATAGAGCAAAACACTGGAAACACAATCAGTATCAACTTATCAAGCAGCTGTTGAAATAACTGAGAATTTAGTTAGTTATATGCTAGTATAGTATGTTCTAGAAAAATTTTTCTCTGTGTTTAGGTTAATAATATAGAATACTCTTCACAGTTCTGTCATAATTAGGAATATCAAGATATAGAAAGAAAATCCTTATTTGATTAACTTTCCTTATTTTATGCAGTCTAAATTTGTTTTGAACTTCTATGTAAGGAGCCTTCTTATATTGTTGAACAACTAATTCAAGACAAATTTTCTTCTTTTATTTTCCATATCTTTCATATGGTTCAGAGCCTCTACAATCATGCTACTTGGCCGCATTTTTACAACCTAACCCCATTGACATCTCCTGAACATACTTAGCATTACTCCATGTTTTTTCCATTTATACCAGTTTCTAAATTCTGGCTTAGATGAATAACTTACTTCCTTCGGTGTATTTTGATTGAGGAGGTTTACTTGATCTCTGGTCAACGATTCTTGGTATC